ACGTGGAAGCGAGGCATGAAGAAATGCACAGAGCGATTAGGTAGAATTGGTGTCTCTCGTTTTCCAGGTTGTGGTCTGAAAGACTGCAAATGGCTGGTTGGAGACTGAAGGATATGGCGACTAACCGACAGCAGTTGCGTTCTTGTTGTCATTTCTTATCAGGTCTGAATGCTTGGAAATGTATGTATGTGTGTTCTTTTTCTTTTCCTCCCTCCAAGTAGCCCCAATCTTTCTCCATTTTGTGCTTTACCACTTGGTTTGTATACATTGCGAGCTTGGCAGCGATCAGTGAAGTTCGCTTCACTGTATCTCGCTTTACGATGATGATGATAATTGGTTTATCCAAGTAAGAACCAATGTATTGATGTTGTCTTTGAAGAAAACATCGATGATTAAGAGCAGTGTTGTAACATGGATAAGAAGGATCAGACAACAGAGATCCGACACCATGGGACACCTCATCCATCTACGCTTAAAATGGACGAGAAAACGAAATAGACAGAATGGCTGCAGTGAATTCCTATGAACAGAAACCAAAGTGCATTGTCTATTCGCCGCAAATATGGGTATTTATGCGGATACTATGCTGTACTGACAATGCTGTTTTGAAGACAACGGTTTTGTGTCGATTAACTTCTGTTGACTGAATGCCCCTCGGCATGAATTAAACTGAATCCTGTAACGAGTGACGTGCGTGAGGTGAACTTTGTCTTCGAGGGAACGGTGTTTAATGTTGAGCAGACTGAAATGTAATTTTAGTAGAATTGCATAAAACATGTCTTCTGTTGTTCATGGAGGTGAAAGATTCATCCTACGCACGTAAACAGGTTTTATCTTCTACTTCTCTACACTAACACATATTAAATCAAAATGTCCTCGTAGTGCCATTCCTAGCGCAACATGGCAAACCATTTGTTTTTCAGGACTAGCAAGGCTAATAATCAAAGTTCTCCACCGTCGTCCAAAAAATTACAGCATTTAATCTAGTTATGAGTAGGGTTTTTTCTTTGTCTAGGCCAGCTTGTATTAATTGACCTCAGACAGGTATTCCACCAGCTAATTACACTACTGAGACTACACGCAGCACAGAAGTTCATGGTTATACGCCTCATTTAGCTATCTAGACCTATCATATCTTAAGCGAAGGTGATAATGTTTGGCTTCTACGGGCCTATTTGCCAACACCTGACGGCTTCAGTATGGACTTGGGTAGGTGTTTCAGTTTGCGGCTGGTCACCCTTCTCTTGCACCTCATGAAATGCTCCTACACGACCAGTCGTTTCAAATAGCTTCTGATGAGGAAGCCCTACCTACACACTACCTTCCAGTGGCAGAGGTGTTTGCCCACCAAAGTGAGAAAACGAGAAATCTGAAATCAGTTCAGTTCACTTTCAGTTTGTACAACAATTAATCATGCACTTTCGTGCGCCGGTTTTGGTTGCTGTCCTTTGACTGTCCATTTGGGTGAACAATAGGACAAAGACAGAAAGGGTGAAAGTAGAGTCGAGCAGAAAATGGAGAATTTTAGTGGTTTAAGGTTGCAAAGAAATTGAGATGTGCAAACACCACTCAGCCATATCTCTAACCATCGGGTACGACCATCCCGAGGTCCCCAGCCACGGAGCCTAACAGGACCTATGT